TTACTCTCCCCTTCCCCTTGCCTGCTGTCTCTCAGTTTTTTTCTCTAATTTCATGCTAAGCCTTGTCTCTAGCTGTTTTTTCAAGAGGAAAAATGAAGTGTTGTTGCAAAGGAACAGAACCAGGACAGAACATCATCATAGTTCAATTGCCCCAGGATTCTGTTAGTGAATTTCCATAGCTGGCAATATTTTGGTCACTAGACTGGCTGCTTGATGGCTATCAGTCACTGGTAAAATCAGAATTGTATAGTCTACATCCATACTGACAGATGTGTTGGAATCAGAATATGAAAAATTTACTTCCCAGATCCAAGACACATATTCTGCAGAATAAATATTTATTCAGATTTGCTTAACTCTGTTCAATTTTGCTTAGCTTTAAAAACTCTCTATTCACCAAACATAAGTTTCTTATTTTAAGTAAATAGATTCATGTAATTTCATTAAGCTGTATAGTCTTTCAGCCACAGTCCTCTCTATATCCATAAGAGAGCCCACAGTAAATAATTTATTAGCATTATCAATGATTTACAAAGTCAGACTACCATTAACTACTATGTAAAGTAGTATCAAGGATCTTCAGCAGATAACTCTTCGTTCTGCATGGATTAACAGTTGAACTCCACATGCTTAGTTATTTTCTCATTCGTTTATCCTTATTCATTTCACATTTTATTATACTATTAATTTTTAATTTTATAGTAGTTTAATAAGTGTTGCTCCTTTCTTAATTATTTTTCAGGCCCTCTATTTCCTTGACTCCGAATTCTGAAGTAGTTCTCCCTTATTAAAACTTTCTGTATAGCTTCAGAAACAGCTACTCAGCCTTCCTGGGAATCGTAACATGTTTATGACATTGTAGGGGTACAGAAAGAAAATCTTTCCCCAGAAGACACCTTAAGGGCTGCTAAAAGGAGACAAATACTTTTAACTCCTACCAACTCTTACCTCTGGGACAGTTTGTGACAGATGAAACTATAAAAGAGGACTCTTTATGGCTTGAATTTACAACTTAGGCTTGATTTTTCTTGCACATCCCCCACTACTGTCAGTACCTTTTAATGACACAAGCATACTGCTGCCTGCAGAGCCCATTTTTTAAACAGCACATACCACAATCAGAGGAGGCTATGTAGTGTGAAGATGACCTGGAGTAAAAAAATGCTCTTCTTGGATTGGCCATGGAAAAAACAACAAAAATAGTGTGTGATCTAGATACTGACTCCAAAGAAAAGCAATTTATGCTTCCTGGGCAAAAGAAAAATCATATAGACTGCCTACAATTTTATTTTCCCACTACACTAATGGTTTCAGCACAGATATTGCATGGAATTCTTGCCAGTTCAGCAGCTCTAACGTTGTTACCAAAGAATATGGGTAAAAGATAAAAATGCACCATCACATGCATATACTCCACATGCAGAGGTGCAATGCTCTTTAAGTAAGCACTTTTGGGGCCTTTCATGCACTTAAATCCCTGGTTAGGCTAGACTTACAAACAATGTAACCTCAATTCAAGAAAAAGTATTGGTTTTGGGAAGCCCTGCATAGTTTTTCTTTCCTTGACTTTACAAAAATCCCTTTTATGGATTGTGTGCACAATTATAATTAGCTTTAATCTGAAACTATCATCAGATCTTAATTTGTTGCTCAGCCTCAGCAAAGCCACAATACCAGAGTGGATTCCTGTCCTCCTGCTAGGCACTCTCTGGGACATTCACAGTGCATATCAAAGTAAACTGGATCTTACCTTTCATGTACTGCAAATGAATTACTAGAGCAATGCTCTTAGTTGCTTGTCTATCTCATTCCCCAGCTGAGATGACTTTATGGATATCTCTCTTCTGATCCATTCAAGCATCCAGTCAAATAGATCAAACCACAGATAACCTGCTCTGAGTTAGAAATGGAACACAGGAAGAGAAAGGAGGCCCATAGCTGGATGCTGCCTCAGGTGGGAAAAAACAGCACAGCCTCTGCTGGCTGGAGCTCACATCTGCTAGAGCAAGTGTTTTCTTTTTTCACTCAGCTTTATTAGCCAGGTTTATGCAGGTGTTTCTGATTTCAGTCAAGAAGGGCAAAAGCTAACATCAACTCTTTCACACTTAGACCAGCAACTGCTGCTGGTGCAGTGCTGAGACTGCCCTGTGCAGCCTTTCTCCAACACTCGGTTGGAGCAGAGAGGGGTAGCTGGGCAGCCACCAGCCTTCCTGAGGAGATGCTATATATTAATTTTTCAGTGCTGTACTGGAAGAGAGGAACACAGTAGGCTTGACTAGGAAACACTGGAAGTATGCCTGGCAAGCCCATAAACTCTCTGGGTCTAAGACAAAGGCAGGACTCTAGATCACACGTGTTGTGGAGCTAAACAATGGCATTTTTCTACTTTGAGACAGATTTCACTTTCTTTTTTCTCTTTTTTTCAATTTTTTGTTTGGTCTTGGCGTTACAGATTTTGAGCGCTTTCTTCCTTGACAAAAAAACCAAACCAAGCAAAAAATGCTTTTGTATAATTCCTCTGACACATCAGTTCTAGTTCTGACGTCTTCATTAGCTCCACTTTTTTCTCTCCTTCCCTGTGGTTACAATATATTCCATTTGCACTTCTTTCATTTAAATTTTTTTTTTTGTTTTAGGATTATGTTGCTTACAATTATTCTTCTTTTCCTCCTTAGTTCAATTGGATCTGTCAAATTTGCAATCACATAAAATAATCCATATTAGAACTACTATAGTATTTACTGTTCACTGTTTAGGACCACAGAATTTTTGTGCTGAGTGGTCTGTAATAGTTCAAGTCAACTGGAGTCCTCAGGAAAGACACTCAGATCTCTCATCCGACGTTTCTCTGGATGGGAAAAAAACAACATACAAACAATAGCTCTTGTTTATTGACACTTCATATATGCATATGCATATATTGTGCAGTCTGGTGCTCCTTAGTTTTCCTTCCTAGTTGGTTTTGAATGGAGATTATAGGACCCTATAAGAAGAAAATATTGCATGCTGAACAATTCTTACTGATATGATGCCAAATAAAATGGCTTTGCTTAGACCTAGATTGGGCTGGTGCATTTCTGTCCCTCCTCACCTTTCTGTGACAGATGAGACAGAGGCTGCTGCTGTCCAAGGCTGCTGAATTAACAGAATCAATGACACACAAAAAAAAAAATCCTCATGGTAAGAACCAGTGTGAAGAATATGATTCCAACAAAGGCCAGTCAGTGCAGAACTTCTGGTTATGTGGGGTGTACTGAGCTGCTGAGTGAAACACAAGATTGCATTGGTGTCCTTTTGAAGACCATGGAAGAGAAATGTAGGGCAATATCCTGGCCTTTCCTCAACTAAACACCAAAATCCCATTCACTTTTTAAAGCCAGGATTTCATCCCATGACTAGGGCAGAAATCAGTCCTGAAGCTGTGGTAGCAGATGGTTGAGCCAGGATCTGGGACACAGATTTTGGGAGTGTAGACAGGATTCAGAAAACACTGGCAATTAGGAATGGAACTAACAATTGAGCTTGCAGATATAAAACTCCTGAGATACAGAATGTAACCTTAAAATTAAACATCATAACTAATGTCTTTCTAATTTTTTTAGTGCCTCAGAAGAATAAAATTGTCATAAAATTCCATTCATAATGGCATCATAGAAAAATTAGTGTCCTGTTAAAAGAATTGTTATGAAAATAATGTAGTTTAGAAACATTTAATATCCCTAGGATAAAAAATATTTAAAATATAAACAGAACTTTATCTGAAGTTCATTTCTGTATGCCTAACACTTGTCACAGCAAAAAACATAATATATTAGTATAGTATAAGCTTATAAATCCATTGCATAATTTTTTAATCTGGTAAGTATCAAGTCTCTATTAATATGGAAAAAATTTGTATAAAATGGCATTTTGGTGACTAGAAATTGATTAGGAGAATATCTATCAAAAATGAGTGGGAAACATAACCAAAGAGCTTCATAACACTTAAGAAATATAAAACAATAGAGTCTTCCTTATTAAATTTAGAATTAGGAAAAGTTTTCACTCAAAATAAGGAAGAAATCTGAGTTATGTGTATTTGCAGCTGTGAGAAACTGTTTTATGTATACACCACTTGCAGTAACAGCATTGCCTTCAGCACCATTGGGCAGAATTAAAAAATCTATAATATGGCCATTGGGCAGAATTAAAAAATCTAATGACGCTGGATCAAGATCTGTGAAATAATCTACAGCTTGCAGGGTGGAAAAAAACCCCAACCCCACAACAATCTGGCTAATCTAAAAATATGGATTTATGAAATTTTTATGAGCTACCAATAGGGTTTTTTTTTCTGGTTTGAATAAATCAGTAGAAGTTGCTTAATGTTTAGCACCTGGATAAAACTAGGTCATTTAATCTCCTTCCTAAAGCTTCCTAATCTCTGGCCTTTCTAGTCTTCAGTCAGTGTTTGAATCTTGATAATTTCTCTTATGAGCTGAAACCATTTGAATGGGGACACAGGGAGAGATTTAGCAGATTTTCCTATTGATAACCTAATGCCCAAGCTGATATCAATATATTTTCCCAATTTTTAATAAAAATAAAATTAAGTTTAAAATTGAACCAAACATAAAGGAGATATTATACAATGGAGAAGCAAGCATTTTCCTTGTGCACAGAAATATTTCCAAATCATAAGTCACAAAAAAGTGTGGTCTCACAGAGGAAATTTCCTATTGTTAAAATGAATAATGGAGTTTTTTTATAAGAAAATAAGAATTTCAGACGTTATTGAAGTCTTAATTTTTCATATATTTTGCCCCTTTTCTTTCCAATAGGTACTCCTGTTATAAAGGGGACTGTCTTTATTACAAGTCACTGTGGGTAATTGCAAACATAAATATTTTTCCAGTGAACAAATACATTTGACATAGCATACATTCTTTAAGAGTGTGCACTAGAAGTTGACGGCAAAAGCATTGTATTTCTCTTGAATATTTCTTCTTTGTTGTGAAAAGGGAAGTTCACATGTATTGAAGTCCGGTTCCACCTGGAGAGGCAGATGGGTTACTATCTCATCCAGATGTACATACCCAGCCTCTTGATCGTGATTCTCTCCTGGGTGTCATTTTGGATCAATATGGATGCAGCTCCAGCCAGAGTGGCTTTAGGCATAACTACGGTACTGACCATGACAACACAAAGCTCAGGCTCACGAGCCTCTCTTCCAAAGGTAGGCTAAATTTCCTTTGTTTGTATTATATTAATCATAATGTTATGTGGCAAACACTTTCATTAAACCTTATGTGTTTTAACTTTAACATCCAATCATTTCCTAAACCAGATAAATAATTTTGAAATATGTAGGGGTGTTTTGATTCTCTAATCAAATATATCCTATTTCTCCCCTGTCTCTACTACACATCCAGCCATGTATCTAATTAATTCCATAAACCTTAACAAGTAATGAAAATGTTACTCAGTTTTATATGAACCCTGCTTAACAATTGACCAGCTCATACTTTTCCATATCCCAGTATCTGGTGACATGCTAGAAGATATGACTGAAATTCTAAAGGCCATAGATTGTTACCATAGATTCTCAATTGTATTCCTTTCTCAAAACTTCCTAAATTATGAATTAGCTCCCTACTTACAAACACATTTACATTAAGATGTAGAAAAATGTGAACCTTAACAGCTCCAAACAATTGCACAAAGTTATTCTCAACACAACGAAAATCACTTAAAGTTTATTTCTATGATTATTTATTTTTGTTTTCTTAGTTGTAATTACTTTATATATTTTCCATTTCATTTTAAGGCTTACTCCTTGACCATCTTCATGTGCCATTGCAGCTAATAGCAATAAAATTTATACAACAAAAATAAACAAATTTCACTTCTGCATTAGTTTTAACATGCTATTTTTGTCAAATTAACTTTTTTTTAAAGTGAAACAGATAGCTCTAACAGATTTGAGCATGCTTTGTGTCCCAAATATATGGAACTAGATGTATCTGAAGTTAGCATCAATAGATAAAACAGAATGCTCTAAAAACTCAAAAAAACACAATGTAAGAGGCTAACAGAGAGCTGCAGATTATTTTGTCACATTTTGAGGCCTGAAGTTAGCTATGTTTGCTTATATAAAAAATCTCTTGGAACTCTGCAAAGACAGAGTAGGTTCAGATCATGTCCTGCATCTTTTCTTGGCAATACAGGATTGCAATGAGCTCTGACCTGTTTCTGATTTTTAGTACTTCCACTGTGACAAATCTACAGGACTAATTTAAAACTATACATTTGATTTACTGTGCCTGTATTAGCAAAGAATGAACCCATCAGACCTATCTCCTTTACCTACATCCTTTCTTCTACCTAATTTTTATTCCAGGAGCTTTCAGCCACATCCATTTTAATACAGGGATTCTAGCTGGTCCCACTACAAGCTATTTTTCGCTTCCTTAGTGTCATTCACAGATCTCAGTGGGACAAATGAAGGAAGAGCATGTGTTTGAGGACTATTTCACTTGTGATGTAATACACTATAAGGATCTGTTAATGATTTAAGCACATTTTGTAAAAGAATACATTTTTTAAACAAAAAATTATTTATAGATTGAATTGTTCTTCTTATTACTGTCTAACTTTCATGCAAAGTTTTTTTCAATAAAAGTATTGTTGGGATATGGAGATATTAATGCACTTCCTCCTGCCATGAAGTACTAAACTTCACATCTGTGGAACATTTTACCACACTCAGGCTTCTCCTGTCTCCTCTCATAGGTGTCATACGTCAAAGCCATTGACATCTGGATGGCAGTGTGTCTGCTCTTTGTGTTTTCTGCTCTTCTGGAGTATGCAGCTGTGAACTTTGTGTCCAGGCAGCATAAAGAACTCCTGCGGTTCCGACGCAAGAGGAAGAAGAGCAAGGTAAAAGTAACGGTGTTCTCAGCTTTTAAAGGGTCTGACTGAGTTGTGCTGGGATACAGGGTTAATTTGGTCAGCACATTGCAGCTTGAAGTGGCAATAGAAATAAAATGGCACCACAGCATAAAATTCACTTTAGGCAGAGGGTCACTACAAGGACTATGAATTGCATAAATCCAACTTGAATTCTCGAAAGAGGGATTAAGAGGGATTTAAATGAGGCATGGGCCATGTGGGAGCCATCTGCACAATCATGAATTTCACTCTGTTGGAAGAGTTAGATTATACCTCTGTGAATGAATGTTACTGGTATTTGCAGCAGTTTTTACTACTGTGAGATTCAACACATGTTGTTTCCCCATTTTATTCTAATACTCAATTCAAAGCCTTAACAGCTGTGTTTCATGCAAATATTTTTAATACACAAAGTACTTATTCAAATAACATTATTGGTAGAAGAACAAACATTTTACTTTAAAAGGCTAGTAAATTTGGGGTTTTCTTCTGTCCAGAAACTTTGTTCTAGTTGTTCATATTAGTGGTAAGAAACTTAATTATAGTAATGGCTATTAAATATTTATATTAGAGCTGGAGCTATACAGACTACCAGTAAAATAACTCACTACCAGCATGCAAAAGCCAAATAGCTAAGGTTACAAGTTTGAATTCTGAAATCTCTAGTTAAATCAAGCAATAAGGAACATTTCTTACAATGTGTAACTCGTACTTCAGATTTTACTAAGTGTCAGTAGTTCTCCAGTCTACTTGTTGAATGAGCACCCTCCCCCGCCACTGATGTAATGCAGAGCCTGTCACTATCAGTCACTATCTAGAATATTACTAGTGGATGAAAGTCTGACCATAGCTAAATTATTCAGTTCAACCATCTTCCATTGTTGAAGACTTAGTCTATGCTTACATGAGCAGGAGAAGATATTTAAGATATTTTCCCTCTTAGAAGATCTGCACTGCTGTAAAGCCTACCTAAGCAGTCTCTGTTAGTAAGACTCAGCGTTGAAAGGCAGACCAGAGAGTCAGGTGAAAAAGGCATTTTCATACATTTGCCTGTCCCTGTGTGGTGAGTCACAGACTTTTTCAGCTGCACAGACAAACTCGTACTGTAGACTAGAGGATGATTCAGACTGCAAGTACCTGTGTTCAATGTTTGATCCCGTGAAAAATGTTCTTTCTTCCTGCTGACAGTAGAAGGAAAAAGCACTTTTGTTACAAGGTGTTTGTTCTAGCTCTCTGAAAACTGTCCTAATGTTTGGAATGGGAAGAATGGGGTGGGGCAGACAGGAATTACTGGACAGGGGTAGGTAAATTACCAGTGAATTGTGTACCAAACAGCTGTGGTAAGTGATGTATTATGTCACTATACTTTTAGTCCATTCATCTTTCTCACCACGTATTAATTTTCTTCTGGATCTCAAGCAAATTTACCAGTTTCAGCTTAAGTTATATCTCTCTTAAATGCAGGTCAATTATTATGACTACAGGATTAGGAACTGACAGGTAGTACCTTCCTTCCTCAGAATCAAACCAAATTCCTCTTCAGCTCCCTCTAAGCAAGATTCCAAATTCACCAAAGACATTCATTCAGCAATCACAGTCAATTACATTTCAGCCTAGAGGTATGTGAGAGAGGAGCCACAATATAAAAAGGACTTGTAAGAGTAAAAGGACTTGTAAAGAAAAAACGTTTGTGCATGAATAACCACATTGGCTTAAGTGTTTTTCTGGATCATGGTATTCTTGAATTCACACTTAAAAATCCTTATTCTAATTTTACACTTTGCTAGACAGTCTTTGCTGGACTTTGCTACAGCTTCAGGTATATTGCCTGCTAAATTCTCATAAAATTACAGAGTTAGAATTAGAGACTTTAGAGTGCAATGAAGGATCAAGTACAATTTAGATACAATGAAGTATCAAGTACTTTGCTTTGATTCTGAAGGATGGAGATGTTCATTTCAATGTTTTTCTTCATAATGTACTTCAGATGAGGTTATTAAATATATTCGGGAGTATAGGGCTTTCCCTTGTCCCTGTACCTATATGTTTCACCATGAGACAGCTTCTCAAGCTAAACTTACTTCAAAATTCTCTGTTCCTGTACAAGATTATGATTTTAGGAAAATAATAATTTTTCAGAAAATATTAATTTAATTAAATGTTTTTTAACTCACTCTAATTCCATGTAGAGTTAGAGCTCCTGAACAGAGTTAACCATTAAGAATGTAGCTTCTCAAACTCTAGAGACAGCTCAGCTAATATTTTCTCTCTTTCTCAATGTTTTATGAAACCTTTCCTTGCACAACAAGTGTACAGGACTTGAAACATGGAGACTTTATCCCTTAAAAAGAAATTTGGATCACATCTTAAACCCTCTGTTATACAAATAATACATGAGTTTTTCAGATTTAAAATTGCAGTTAATAACTTGCCTTCCTTACCACAAATGTTATTATTTATTCACCACAATTTATAACATGAAATGCAGGCCCTAGGATCATAACTCAAAGTAGCTTGGTTTTCCTTCTTTTGTCTTTTTCAAAGTCAGTTACTAGAGCTCAAACTTACAAAGTTTTGTATGTTTGTTATTCCTTTGGACTAGGTCAAGCAGCCACTGGCTCTCAGGGATTAGATTTTATTGACTTTGAAAACTGCCATGTATTAAGAAATGTTCATTTGATCATAAAGTCAAGAGGTGAAAAGAGTTTATGTAAAAAGACTGCATTTAAAGTAAACTTCAGGGGCTTTCTTGAACATTACATCTTCTTCCTTGGGCAAAGAGATAAACAATATTCTATTCAGTATTTTTGTCCAAAACTATTAGAGAAATAAAGCAGATAGGATAACTTATTAGACTTTTTCATTCTGTATGCTTACCATCTTGGAATATTTTCCTAAGATCAGTTCTTTTTTACCAGGTGAAGTCTAAGAATTGAATACAGATTTTTTTTGTTTGTTTGTTTGTTTTTTTGGTTTTGTTGGTTTGTTTGGGTTTTTTGCCACTGGTATTTTATCTACAAGGGTACAGCAAAACTGCTAGTGATTTGACATGTTGCAGAAGTGCAAAAAATAGATCAGTTTGGAAATGTTTCATTTCAGGTATGTGTAGGGCAGCTGAAGAATTTCCAAAGTCTATTTTCTTTGTAATTAGTAAGATATGCTTGTTGCAAGAAATATTTACTTTTACCAAGTAAAAAAGGCAAAAGCCCTATGATTGAATTTCAGTGTCTTTGGGAGGTAAGTGGATCCATTTTGCTGACTTAAGTAAAGATCATTCGTACCTAATTCATCCCAGCCAAAAAAAATTCCACAAGTTCCCTTGAAATCTATTCCAATTGTTTAAAAAGATTTTTTTTCCCTAATGTGTTTTTTTGGCCTGTCATAGCTTGTCTAGAAAAGACACAGAAACCAGATTGCTTCATTCCTTCATGTCACCATTTGCACATTTCCATTCTGTCTTTTCTATAAATATTCCCAGTGGATAAAATTTTTGGTTTTGGTTTGCATTGGGTTTGGGGGTTTTGTTTTGTTTTGTTTTTTTCTCATTCACCTTCCCTGGAAATTCTCCTAATTAGTCCATATAATTCCGCAAAACTATGTTTGCAACATGAACAACATGAAACCTGCAGCATAACAGTTGAAGGCAGCCAAAGGATCAAGTGATCAGGTTATACAGTTGTTTACCCAAACCGGTTTACCATTTGCCTTTTAAACAACATCATAATTTTGACCCATATCATGATTGTGATCTTCCATATCTTCTGGGTCTTTTTCCAGAGAAACACCCTGCAGGGACATTTGCTTTCCAACTAATACAAAGCTGGATATTTCTGGCTAAATGTCATACTTACTGATTCTCCTATATTTTTCAAATGCTTTGTTCAACTCGTTGCATTCAATTTTATTTCTAAACGTATATTCAAACAAATTTTCAGGTTTTCATAGTTTGGAATATTTTTAAAATTAATTTAAATTATGGCTTATATCCTTCTGAAAACACAGAGGAGATGGAATCTCTCTATTAAGAAGCATATGTTTGAACTCAGATAAGACCCCTGCAGTAAATTCTATTGTTATACAAATTACAGTTCTGTACAGAACTTCAACAAGACATTTTGGCATCTAGAGTTCATCTATCTTTGCCATTTTCCTCATGCTTTTTCCACTTATAGTCACTGCCTTTTTTACACACCATCTGGTTCATTTGGGCCTCCCTTCCCAGACAAAAATAGCAGCATCATGAAAGGCAATTCTAAGGTACCACTGCACCCTCTGGCCACCGTTTTTAGGATTGTAAGTATGGACTTCATTCAGTGATTCCATATTACTTAAAGACAAATTTCTTTTCAGAGGCCCAACCCAGTTTGCATAGAACTAGCAAAAATTTTGAAGTTTCTGGGGTTGTGTTATAAATTCATTTACAAATGAAAGCTGTTGCAGCATAATGTGCAACCTACTCAACGCTTTTTTCCAACAAGCATCACAGTAGGTACAGGAGTTTTTTTAAGAGGGTATAATGTCTTTATGATTACACAAATGGCATAACAAATCCTGAGAACAAGGGAATTTTGATTACCAGTTTGAGACTTCATCTGATACTTAGTATATGAGACACAGTTCTTTGACAAAAAAAACCTAGCCTATTCAGAAATATTATGTTACCACTCCTTCAGAATGAATGTTAAGTATTCATTTCCTTCCTAAAAGACAAAAGAAAAAAAAAGGCAGAAAAAGAAGTCATAGCGGGATACTGAAACACACCTATGATCATTGTTTTTTCTTAGTTGCATTTACATTGTATGGGCAAAATATTAACCGTGTACAGATACTGAATAATAATTTGATTTTAGGTTAGCTGCTAATTTATTTAGGTTTTGGGAATATTCAGTCTATTAGTTCTATTTTCAAAATCTAAAGATCACCATATCTTTAGAGAGGAAAATAGACATGCAAACTAAATTGTCTTTAATGGTAATCACACCTTTTTTCTTTTGTTTTCTTTTTGGTCAACCATCCATTTTGATGAAAGTATTTTGAGGGAGTTCTTGATGGAAATGAAATCAGTGAATCATTACAGCATAGCAATGGCTTGAGATGTGCAGGACGTATAGACGGGATTTTGCCTCAAATCTACAGTACAAATTTAAGGGTAAACTATTGAGAAGATGTCCCATTTGTCATAATGTGCTATCCAACCATTTACAGAGGCCCTGTCCTTTTGTCTACAGTAACATCTTCCCATGTGAACTTCATATGCCTTCATTGCTACCTGTATGTGATGACGTGAAATGTTAGTAAAGGTACTGTCTTGTTAATTTCCTAATCCATTTTGATCTGTTTAAATCTGGATCAAAACATAGTGCTAAAATTTTGCTCTTTGTAGTGCAAAACAACTTAATACCACTTGTCTTCTCAAAACCGAGCAATAAAAAAGAGAGTGTTTAAATTAGCAAAGACAAGGCTTCAAGTTAAGTTTTTGAGTTGTTATGACACCTTCCAATCAAACAGCTATGGAGTTATTTTCAGCCCTTATACACATATTATTTCCCAAGATAAATGTATTACTAAGCACACTAACTGAAAACACCATAGTCAAAATACCACAAGACTCACAGTTTTCTTTTAATTTATAGCTAAGTATTTTGTACAACAACACTGATACTGAAGTAAATGGATTGAAATTATTTTTGTCAGACCACCAAAGAATTCCAACTTTCCAAATAAAACTTATCTAATTTTTTTCCATTCCTTAATTACATTAATTTTAATAGAAATTATAAAATATTTAAATGTAACTGCATGAAGAACAACTTTCAAGTTGCTAATTCTATAGCTGAATTGGTGAAAAATGTATTCAAATCAAAGTTCATTCATAATAAGATTTTTAAAGTTTTATCAAAAATCTGTAATAAATAGCTTTCTGTAGTGATAAGGCACTAATAATATCACAAAAGAAACAAAACCTTCCTTATCACTTAAATAATAATTCTATTCAGCCAATATGCAGGACTTTTTCAGGAAGATTCACTGTAAAGGCTCTCAACTGGATCACACAGGGTATTGTCCTTCAGATGATTTCTACCTCTGTAGACTCAGACACATGCATTCTGAGACATCTTTCTAGTCAAAAAGAGGGATTTTAGCCAAGTCAATCAATAGCAAAAAAAAGGGATGTCACTGACATAAAAAGCTAGTATTGATAACAGCAACCACATCTTTCCTGCTGTGCACAAGTACCCTCAGATATGAATCTGAAGCCAACCTAGTGATCTTTTTGCATTATGGATCTGCTGGAAAACTTGCAGAACCCCATTTTGAATATTCAAGCTGCTGGCCCTAAAAGGAATTCTGGTGGCTCTTGGTATGCTCCAGAAGGTCCTTTCCTGCATATCCACCAGCCCTAGCACTTGGGCATGATTTGGATGGCTCCAGCCATCCTGACTGTCCTGGACTCCTGCAAGGAGCTTCACAGTTCAAGCACAAAGAGCATTTCCAGCCAGACTGCTTACAGATGAATTACAGGAGGTCTGCAAGCACAAAAGTAAGGAGAGACCTGGCCTTTAAAACGTTCTAGGGGATCATTCCATTCAGGTAAACCTGAAACAAAGACAACAAAGTCTTAATATATAGTGCTTGATCCTGAAATCATGCACAGCTGAAATCTGCTACTCAAAAGCATCATTATCTTATCTTACTTAGCCTGTGCAGTACATATGAAGGTATTTAAATGGCAAGTTTATAGTCAATTCTCACAGTACATGCGTTTCTAACTTAATATTTCTCTTAACTGCAACACACGACTACAACTATTATAGAATACAACTACATTAAAGATATTCTTTTCCATTCTTAGCTGACAGCAGACGAACACTATTGCAGTAATTAAATCTCTGTTTTATCACGTCATCAAATAATGATCCTATCATTTTGTATTTCTGTTTTTCATTTTCATAGTAAAGTCAGTCAGTGATTTTTTTCTCCTCCTTTTCTTTCATGTTAATTTTTTTTTTAATTTTTTAAAGGCAAATTCTAATATAGATTTTAGATATAGCAATTTCAGTGACCTTTATCACTCTCAATATTTATTCAATTTACATATATGAAATATTTCAGTAGGTTGATATTTACAGCTCTGCTGGATGGTCATGCTGATGGCCAAGTATTTTACTTCAAATGTGGTAATTTATTTACATTCTTTTGTAGCTAACATATTCAGTTAATATTGATAATAAAACTCAGATTTTTTTAAACAAAGTAATTAGCAATTATTTAATGGAACTTTTAAATTTTTAAAATTAACTCTTCATTGAAAAGTTTTTTCAGGTTTTCAAAATGTCAGACATTTTCAAAATAAAAAATTTGCAACTTTGGATTTAATTTGCGCTCATTGAGAAATTGCATTTTTATAAAGTAAGAGATTAAAGTACAACAAAAAAGTTCTAACTATTGAATTGAGATAGCAATTATTTGACTTGCTTGGGCAAGTAAATATTTTTTAGACTTATTTTAATTTCAGCTAGGAAAAGCTTTAAAATATGAAAAATTCTCCAACAAAAGAAAAACTGACAGCTCCTCAACTGTTTTTATAATAGTTATAAAAAACATTTTTCAAAATACTTATTTAAGAATTAATGTAATAATTTCTGTATTTCATAAAAGTGTAAAATCCTAAAGCAAAGAGGCTAAATTAGACATGAAAAATAGAGATTCCTGAATTTAAAATTAGTATTGAAAAATGGTGAATGCCATCAAAATCACATAATTATTCTTGAATAGCCTACATAAAGAAGGAATACACTGGAATATATTTCAGAAGCAAATCTAGCCCTGACTTCACAGATTATGTATCATTTATTTGTCTGCATATGTGCCTTTTTTATTACTTGAGGACACCTAGATAAAGAGAAGTAAAAAAAGATGTCTCCAGGCACAAGATACATTTTTAAATTGTATGCTATGAAAATATGTGTACCTTCAAAGCATCCACCATTTCTGTGCCATGTGATTAAGAATCACTTTCTTTTACAGTTTCCTAACCCTGAATATCTTTGCCAGTTTTCCCCTGAATTGACAAAAGAATGAGTCAGAAGAAAAATCTGGCCTTTAGCTTCCATTTCCTTTATTTTAAACTAAGACACTTTGCCTACTATTCTTTTTATTTGATGCATTCACAGGGAACAGCAGAAATTAGGCATATAGATAAGATTAATTAAATATACAGTGGCCAAATAGGCAGAATTCTCACTAATATAATGAATGTGCATATCATTAGTGATTTTATGATGAGCATCCCTAGAGGCCAGGATCCTGGGTCATAAGGCAATGTACAGACTTAATAGATGTTTTCTAAAAGAGCATTGTGAAATTTGTCCTTTTGAAGACTGCACATATTTACTGTAAATGGGGAAACTTAAACCAAATCAGAAGTTGTGTGCCCAATTGCCACTAGTTTACTAGGCTTTCTCATTTCTCTAAATAGATTACAGAATCTAAACAAGCAGAAAAATTCTGTGCTTGTTAACAATCCAGCAATATTTTTGTCAGACTGATAGGGATGAAATTTCAACAAGTTAAGATAAGGCGTGGATTCAAGAAGTCGATGAGGTAATTGTGCAACTGGTATTTAGCAGCAGGTGAGATTTCTGTAAACAGTAGTTTAAAAAAAAACACTTCTTGCTCTTTTTCTTTCTTCTCTTCTTTTTTTTCCAACAGGATGATGATACACGTGACAGTCAGTTCAGCATTACAGCATACGGAGTGGGCCCATGTGTGCCAGCAAAAGACGGAATAACACAAAAGGGGCCAAATAACCCTGTTCAACCTGTACCAAAAAGCCCTGATGAGATGAGAAAGGTATTCATTGACCGGGCCAAGAAGATAGACACAATATCCAGAGCTTGTTTCCCATTAGCCTTTCTGATTTTCAACATTTTTTATTGGGTAATCTACAAAATCATCAGGCATGAGGACATTCACCAGTAACAAGACTGAGGCTTGCAGTACATAAAGATCTGGCTGTCACACTCAGCAGGAGGCTTTTTGTTAGAAATGCACATCAGAGGAGTGATTGGAAGAGTTAAAAACAATGAGGGGAAGAAAAAGGATCCTGCATGGCCTGCAATGACCAGCTACAGTGGGATGGAAGAATGAAACCCAGAGAAGATACATCTACTATTCCAAACTTTCCTTGTCAAACTAAAAATTAACTACTTTTTCATTGAAAATCACTCTCTACTGAAGCTTTACTGCCAAGCATTTATATATATTGTTACATAGTGGTATAATTGTACAGTACTCTTTGAATAGTCCTTAAATTTTTTAAATTCTGGTGTATTTTTAATTTTAAAAATGTTTCCCAAATACCCTAGGTGAATTCCACAGTATTACAGAATGGACTAGTGTTTGTAAGTTTTCTTTCAATTTCACAATATAATGACAAATTATGGATTGGACAAAACAGCTTAAAGGACTTGATCTAGTCTTAAGGACAGTACGGGTGGTTTTGCAGTGAACATATTTAACAGTTTTTAGTAATTTAATTTATTCAGTGTAGTTCATATTACTGTTCCCCTGGAAGGCGTACGTTGAAATAATCTCAGAACAAGTATACAGCCTAATAGTCTACACTTCATATGAGAAATATACTAAAATTTTTAAAGTATTGATTCCTGAAAGGATTTTTTTCTTTTAATTTCCTATACTTTGATAATTTAAGCATATTCTTTAATCTTTTTTTTTTTATATTTTAAGGAGTTTTTTTCCTCAATTCATAAAACTCATACAGCTTGTGAAATAGACAAATTACATCAAAATTTTGCAATGCTTCATTTTGATTCAATGCAAAGAGATCTTGGACTGGAATTGAAAGCAGAGTCAACAATTTCACTGAAGCATTTGGAGGATGAATACAGTTATGTTTATGCACATTCATCTCCTACATATTACATAATTCCAGGAAGTTTAATTTATGAATGTGCCAAATTTTCTGACTCATTCCTTGAAGTTTGTTAATGTGACTTAGATACTGGTTAAGAAGCACTTCACAGCTTTGGAAAAACACACAGCTCTTCTAAAAGAACAAAAAAAAAGACCTGGATGGTCTTTTACTTTACTGGATTTCACATTAATAAATGGGAGAACAACTATTAAAACTCTTAGATCTTCCCTGTTTGGGTTTAAATAAGCCATGTTAGTTGCTTCTTTGAATTGTAACACCATAGAACACATTTATGGCATAGTGTCCAGGCAAGAGTATTTACTTTTGTCAATCTATTGGCAAAACAAAACCATGCTATCATGTTGAAATATAACACTTAGTTATTTAGTTATTAGATACTCTAAGTCCAGTCAGTGAGGCTGCTTCTCATTGCAAAATATTTTTATTTTGGACATGTTTAAAATTTGTGCTTCTTTGATGATCAGAATGTGTATACAAAAGCAGAATGGGCTGGAGGCGAACATCTGGTGCACTGCCAAAGGCATGGTGCATATGAAGTAACAGAAGCAATGTAACTCTGTTCTGGGGCTTGTAACATAGCAACCTTGGGTTTGGTTTGGTTTGTTGTTGTTTTCCTCCCAGGATTACTTAGAGAGATTCTATAATAGTAGCTCTCATATTTTGTTAAATTGTGTCAGAAAGAACATATATATATATGTTATATATATATGTTATATGTGTATATATATATATATATATATATATATATATACACTCCCCTTTTATTTTAAAACTATTATGGTTTTATATTTTGCTTCATTTAATAATCTAAAATTATTTCAATTCACTTTTTGCTTTCTTTTTTTTTCTAATATTGTGTCTGCTTTTTTATTGGTTTCTTTATGTGCATGTTCCAAAAATCTCGTTCGCTTATGAAGGTGTGAGGGGATATCACAAATTTATGACTGATATTCACCTCTCTCAAAGTTAGGGTTAGTTATATTGTATGGAAAGGGTTGTTAACATGTGTCTGTTAACAGCAAAATCGACTGTATTTTGTTTAAGGGCTGTTTTCAAATGCACATAACATTTGGCATGCGATTCTATTTTAATACAATGGAAGCAAGATCTGATCTCTCTGGAGCTGATGGTTTTGTAGACTTTTTTAATGGAATCATAACATTTACCAAGGTAACATAAGCCTCTGTAGTCCACTAACGTATTTTTTAAAAGAAATAATAACTTTAAATTAAGCTTCATTTAGATTATTCCTAAATTACTTAGTATAATGTCACATGGTACAGAAAGAGAGAAATGTCATCTGAGATGATAAGAAACTTCAAGGCACAAATGTCTGCTATTCACCACTGACAACAGGAATAGCCCAAAACTGCCAGCAGGCATGCCAGCCCTCTGTGCAAAGCTGGAATCAACAGCTACTGACATCAGCTAAGATTACTGTGGGATGATATTTTTGCAACTGTATAATGAAGCAGCAGGAAATTATGTTAAGATGCGAGAATTGAAAGGTGCTCTGCGGTACTTACCAGACTGCAGCATTTTTGTTGCCCTCCCATCAAAGAGATGGGAAATGCAGAAAAACACTCATCACAGAGATAATGCTTGAGGTAAATGGTACTTTGCAGGCTTCCTCCTACACATAAAAAAGACCCCAATCATTTGGCAGAAGTAATAGCTACCTCACTTAATTATCACTGGGCCTGGGCTCTGCTGAGAACAAGTCCTTGGCAAGTCACACAAGAAAGCTTCTCATAAGCACAATCCCTGTGTGACAGGATAATGCAGCTTTGTCCCAAGTCATCATTCAACACAGGTGCAGACCCTGTACTTCTCAGGTCATGTTTTTGTGGACCAGCCCTATGCTTTGAAAATTAAATACTGGCACTAGAAGGACATTGTAAGACAATGAGAACAGAGACACTGCAGGATCTGGAAGAACAGCCCAGTAACAGAGCTACTGAGGAGCTGACACAGTTACCATGAGGGGAAAAAAGGGATCAAGCACCCTTAGCATTTTTCCCAGACCTGCCGTGTCTCCATAGGAACACTTGCTCAGGTGGAAGCAGTAACTGCAGGGGCAAACAATTTATATCATCTGCTGCAAAGTTTATGTTGTTTTGTGATAGTGATTTCTGCCTGTGCAGATTGACTTCCACACCATCCCCTTTCTTGATAGAAGGAGAAGCAAAACAGGAAGGTACAGGATGAAAAGTCTGGGCTGTGCATAGCAGAACAGGAGCCACAGGAAGTGAGAAAGCCCAAAGCAGAGCCTGGAACCTCTTACATGACTGTCTTTTCATTCTGCACTAAAGAGAGATGTGGCTGAACCCGTGTCCCCATGTCATCAGAAGGCAAAAAACTTCAGTACCTTGAGAGAGGAGAAGCCCCTTAGAGGTGCAGTAGAAATATTCCACTATCACTGTGCCAAACTCCTACTTAAATTGCAAACAGCAAAATGCATTTTATTTTTAAAACTAGATTAAAATATCAACACAATAGGCTTGCATTGTTAGAGGGATGTTTTTTTCTCTATAATACTGATAAACTATGTGAAGATGTGAGGGAATTAGGAATACTAATATTGTACTACTTAGAACTCAGCTATTTTAACCCCAAAATAAAGTATATTTTACTTTCAAGGACTTTTGACAGCAAGCAGTATTTAAACAGGTTAGTGTAATTCAGGATGAATAGAGCATTTACTTAAGATTTAATTATTTTTCATACATTAGGTTTCTTTGGATTCCTTTTCTTATCGTTCATTCCAAAATCTGCTTTATAAAGAATCATTTGTGATGTGTGAGAGATGATTCTGTTTACTCATAGACAGAAATATTTAGGTGATTAAATGTGCACTTTATATTTAAGGAGTGAGATATTGCTTCCACTTTGTGTATAACCCCTTACAGAAATGTAGACTGATAATGTAGATAAAGAGAGACTATAATAAACTGTACAAAACCTTATATTTTTTAACAGTAGGGAAAGATAAAAAGTCTTCCTTAACCTTAGAAAAAGAAAAAGTATTATTTTCAGCAATAATTTTATAGTAGAAGGAAATTAATTTATTTATACCATTCCCAGCCCAAGCTGATGTGATTGGTTGCAAAAGATACACTTTTCTTCCAGTTTCTACTCTCATTTGAACTATCATAGAAATTAATCTAATCCAGCAGAATAGAATTTGGTTTTAAAATGTGAAACTGCTGAATGAGCTAGTAATACATACAGTACCCCTGTGAGGTAGTAAAATAAATTTATCCACATCTTACTGCACAATCATGTGGTTATTTAGATAAGTGCAATATCAGATTTCAAAGCTTTTTTCCTTTTCTAAGAAAAAAACCATAAATCTCAAACCAGACTACTTGTTAGTAATAAAAGGGGTGTTCTGTTTTGGAGTGGTTACAGAAAAGGTGTCTTCAGGCAACAGTAACCTCCAGTAATTTCTGAAGTACTATCAGTTTGGAAGGCTTGTGGAAGCAGGTTAGATGGCTAGAAGCAGTAGATTAATGCCAGAAAAAGTGTTGGCTCATCCTGTCTTCTTGACATTCTTGAATATTACTGCACTTCTTCACTTTCATCCTTGTGAAATATGCAAGAAACATTTCTTATGTTTGTATTTTAATGTATGTCAGAGTGATATTAACAGATGAAATGGACTCAAGTAGCTACTGATGTTCCATGAATGTGGAATTGTGAGCTGTATAAAAAGAAATTGTGCCATAAGCTTTTGACATAAAGGTTTAACATAATATATGGTATTTTGTGTGTTAGTGATCCTGGCTTTTTAAAGGCTACAGCAAGAAAAAAATAAAAATTTATATGATAGTGTATTAATAACTTGTCTGTGAGTTTTCAAAATATTCTCCTGTGAGTTCTCTCTGACAGCAATTTCATCTCTAAGTACTTCCTTTTTTGTAAAAATCTATAAATGTGTTGTGCATGGATTTTATTAGATTCATTTTTATTGTATTACAGTATCATATTGCACTTAAACTGACATTCTCTGCAGTCAGAAGTGTTTAAAATGTGAAATTTATGGTGTCACCCATGTCATTGTAGATATTTTGTTCAAAAAAGAAAATAAACTTATCTTTTTTCAGAAATTGTGAAGTAATTTTTATTATATTTTTGGATTTAAATTAATTTAAAGTCAAAAGAGGAACAGACAACACCATTGGAAAAAAGGATTAAACCCGAAGTAGTAGTTACCATGCACTACCATTGAGTATTTCAGGAGTGAAAGCAAGAGAGAAAAGGAGTAGAGTGCCTTTGAGCAGAATGCCTTTGATTGTTATATGGGCTCTAGCTCTGAAAAAAAACCCTTATTCTGAAACTCAGGGAATGTTATCTTGATAAATGCCTATTGAAATAAGTAACAGCCACTCCAAAATTGTCCTGCTGAACTTATTATCAAAAAGGCAAAGAGTTTCACTTGCAGCAAAATAGCCTTAAGAAAATTTTTATTGGTCTCTGAGCACCTCCTATGTACTCCTTGATAGAAAACTTGAAGTTAGCAGATAAGAAGTCATTTGAGAACACTCTGAGTTCTTCTAATTTGATTACAGCAGTGTTAATGCTCTTATAAAGAGCACAGTCAGTAACAGCCCTGTCTTTAGGAGACAGCTCAGATGTTTGTCACTCCCTGCCCACAAAAGGTGACATCAGTTCATGCCTCTCAATTTGCTTATCGTGTCCATGGGATGCAAAACAACAACTTTGACATACAAATGAAGTGTTTCCATCATCAGTTGCAAGTAATTCAGTACAGCAAACCTGTAGCTTGGAGCTTTATAGAATGGAAGTTTCTGAAAGGAACAGTCAAATGAAACAAGAGCACCAGAGAAGCCTTAGCAGAAATCTTGAGTGAGCCTTCACAGAACCTGCAGAACTGTCAGATCTTTGCTATTTGTGACAGCTGTTGCTCCAGCAGATCTGTACCATCTTGTCTTCCCTAAAGCGAAGCACAGCTGGTACTCCTGCCCTTGTTCAGATATATTCACAAGCAACAATGTCATGCAGTTCCCAGAGCATGAAAACTGCAAATGCACCATACCAGGTGTGCAAGAAGCAATTAAAAAGGAAAGTAACAGCCAGGCAATGTGACCTAAGAATCATAGGAAAAAGAAGTAACAGATCTTAAAGAGATCAATATGTGATTTATGGCATAAATTATATGGCCCTTTCAGGACAATCTTCTGGAAAAACATATCAAATATCTTCTTTTCACTATTGCATATATAGTGTCCTATTAATTTTAGAAATACCTAGATATTTTAAATTTTTTTAAAATATTTAGTTTACCATGATCCATACAGTGGATTTTATTTTGTACTATCTATACATTATCAGATCTGAGAACATACTTTTTTTTTCTGAATAAGACACAAGCTCATGAATTTAAAACCCAGGACAACAATCCTCAAAAGTCACAGACCTAGAATTACAGAGCAATTTTCCTTTCGGAAATGAATCACACTTTCTCAAAAATTTATTAACATTTCCAAAAATGAAATATTTAAACGTTTATTTCACAG